TTCTAATGAAATCTTAGAGTTCATCTTGCATCATATCCATGATGAGTTAGTGAACTTCTTTACACGAACCATCTACAGATTTCTTTGAAGCTTCTCAAGGACAACAGCATTCTGATGCCTTGAATCAGAGGGATCATTTCTTCAAGATTTGAGCTTGCTTTGATCTAGCCCTTTTTCTGCAGACTTCGTTATGAAATTCTTATGAATCAAAAACATTAGCCAACAATATTTCTTTATTTACTAAAGAAAATTCCCAATGAGCTTTTCATGAGAAAGTCAAGAGTGGACTGATTCGTTTCTTGAAAACATCTCATACTCACATAGAAATAATCTTCAGCAAACAAGATTTCTTGCTTCTGATGATTTGATCTTTTGAGCGAATACGTTGTATATCCAAACGAATTTTAAGATAAGCATTCAACAAAGAACTTCTTAACTGATGAATCTCTCTTATCAGTTGATTCTTCAATCTTCTTCCAAGCTCTAGTGAAGAAGATTTAGTTGTTGATAACTTCAAAACTTCAAACTTCAAAGAATCACTGACTTGCTCAAGATAACCCATTTGATTACAATTTCAGTACTCATCTTCAACAAAAATTGATTTTTGACTGAAATTGTAAGAGAAGTGAAAAACCACCAATAGTATTTCTTCACACAACTTTAGGATCTTTTTCTGACACTATTAGGTGTTTGATATCCATCAATAACAGAACCAGGCTCTGATACCAACTGAAGGTGTGAGAAATACACAAAAAGGGGGGGGGGGTTGAATTGGGTATTTGCTCTATTAAAACTTTTTCTGGGTTTCTTCACTTGTTGCTTTCTATAGAGTTCTATACGATGCATTGCGGAAGCATATATAATAAAGAATAACACAAGTAAAGAACATATGATATATCCTAGTTCACTTGAGCAACTCTCAAGCTAATCCAGTCCACCCTTCCAAGGTGATTTTGCCTTACTCAAGTAAGGACTTAATCCATTATAACCAAACTGATTACAGTTGCACAAGCTAACTGCAGGTGACTAACAAATAGGCAATGACACGTTCAGGGATCTCTTAGGATATGACATTCATTGACACCTAATAGAATCCGATCAATTTAGATCTCTTATTAGTTACCACAAATGACAACTGTCACTTGTCATCTCAAGTAGTCTAATCTTCACAAGATCACTTGAGGAGCCACTAATTCTAAAATGAATTTGTGTTGCCGGAGATTACATGAGTGCTTCTTGTCAAGCAGATTACTCCTAATTAAGTACAAGGCAAGTATTGAGCAACCACTGGATAGAAGTAAAGCATGTAATGCGCTACCTGAAGAGAACAAGAGACTTCGTGCTCACTTATCGAAAGTTAGATAACTTGGAGATCATTGGGTATTCTGACTCAGATTTTATTGGATGCCCAGATACCAGACATTCCACATCTGGTTACATCTTTCTCTTGGCTGGAGGAGCTGTCTTCTGGAAGTCTTCCAAACAGACTTTAGTGGCTCCTTCTACCATGGCAGCAGAGTTTGTGGCTTGCTTTGAGGCATCAAATCATACAATTTGGTTGCGGAACTTTGTCACAAGCGAGCATTGAAAAGCCCTTGAAGGTTTATTGTGACAATAGTGCAGTTGTGCTCTACTCCAACAACAATATGAGTTCTACAAAATCAAAATTTATCAATATCAAGTATCTTGTTGTGAAAGAAAGAGTTCAGGAGAAACAATTTTTGATAGAACATATAAGGACAGACTTAATGCTAGTTGATCCATTAACCAAACGTTTAGTACCTAAGACTTTTTATGTGCATGTTGCTCATATAGGTCTTGATTTTGTGATTACCTTAGATTAGTAGGAGTTTTTCCTTAATTTTTCTATGTTCTATATTTTGGTTTTATTTTGGTACAAACTTTATGTTATGTTTAATTTTTTGCAGAAATAAAAACTTATGAAGTATTATTGTTATAAAAATATCATGTTTTTTGTTATGTGCAAATACTGTAACTTTGAATTGCACCTAAGGAACTTCGGTTTGATCTCACTAAAGACTCCAGTAGGACCAATTGGAAATATGCATGATTCAGAGATCACATTGTATGAACTTTCCATGTCACTCATCCATATCGATCTATGTCATCGAGTACGTTATGTGGTGGTCATCGGGGTTCTGTCACGTTATACATTAGTGACGACAGCCGTGGTGATTCCATTATTGATATATGAGGTGGACCAAATTGTAAAGTTGAAATCTAAAAAAAAATTAGCATTCGCATACGCGTCTAAAAAATTATGATATAATCATTAAGATATATTGGTCAAAAGGGAAATTGTTGGAATATTTTAATAATATATGAATATATTAATACTCCAATAATTATGTAGTCAAATATATTTATTTATTATATTAGCTATTTTATTAATTAAGTGCCTTTAAATAATTAAGTGATCAAATAATATTAAAAAAGACTATTTAGATTTTATTTATGAATTAATTAAATAATTAGATATGGACTTAAATATGAGGGGATGTCAGAATGGTCCATTTAGAAATAATGGGAACCCTAATTGGTCATCACATTATATATAGGTTATGGTCCTCCGATATGCACATAAAGAGTATCGATCGAGAAATAACCACAAAAGCCAACAATTTCTGAATTTATAATTACTGTCAAAGATATTTTTCTCAATCGATCATTTAATTTTATTTATATTTGATTTTCGCGTCTAAATTATATATTATAATTTATTGAGCATGTATATTTTAATTAATCGTTATTAATCTAATTTCATCACTACACACTAACAATTTCTTCGTAAATTCAAAATGAATTCAAATGAGTTTCAACGGGTATGAATTATGTATAAAAAAAATGAACTATTTAAGTTGAATATAAAAATAAACTATGAATCAAAATTTGAATCTCAATTCAAAATTATTTACATTTAATATTCAAAATGCTTAGAACATGATGAAGTACTATTACTAATCAGAAGGAAAATGGAAAGCACGAATTGGGAGAAAGGCACAACAGTTTTTGGTAGCGAGTGTCCCACAATCACAAACTGACCCTGAAGAATGAGCGAGTGAAATACACTTTACACCTAACCCAATGTCACACATCTTTTCACACAGCACGTTCACATCACTCTCCCACCAAAACATTGAACCCCTCCCCTCAACCATCATCTTCAACGCGCTTTTAACGCGTGTGAATAAAACCAAAAACACTTTTTTCACAAATAATTATCTTTAATTATAAAAAATAAAAATAAATATTTATATTTATTTTTGTCAAGAACTAATAGTTAAAATTTATTATTTAAATATAAATAAATAAAATGTCATCAATTCGAATACACATTTGATATTCATGAATAATTATCAATTGAGCTGGTTAAATCGAATAAACAAATTTATGCTTCTTTTGAATGATGTTGTATAGCATTGTTTAAATTTATGGTGCCTGCCATGTACTATTTGTAATCCTTCCTAATGGCTGTGTGTCTTTGTCTTGAGAACAGAAGACACAGGCGCAGGCATTGGCAACATGGACAGTAGATAGCTACGTTTCATTTCAAAACCATTTTTAGCCACCGCTCAGTGATGAGTGTTGGAAGAGTGGATTTGTGTTGCCATAAATAAAGCATGTTCCGAAATTATTTTCGTACATTTATTTTATTTAGAGAAAAAGAGATAAAGATTATACATTATCTGAATTACACGTGTCAATGATGGCCCACTAGAAACCGAGATCTATATGGCCTACAACTAACAAAATTTTGAAAGAAACTTCTTTTCTAAGTAAAGTTGGAAAAAGGAAGAGTAGTAATCGCCCTATGAAAATGGTTCTCATTGCTTTATACATATATAAATATAATACATCCTCCTTTTCCCTTTCTTTATTTTTTAAAATTATTTATCTTTTTTAAATATTTTTAATTATCTTTCATCTCATTTTATATATCTATATTTCCACTAAATCTTTCAAAATAAAATAGATAAATATTTTATTGTATCTTATTCAGTAGTGAAAAAATATTTTTTTTCAGTCCAATAAAAAAAGTAAATACTATAATGAATTACTATTGAAATGTTCATGAGTAAAATCCCTTCACCATTGTCGCACAAATTTATAGATTAAATTAATCTTAAAGAATATGTTAGAAACACCCATAAACTAAGTTCAGTCTTAATTGAACACATCACATCACATTGAAGATAATGTTCAGATTTTCTAATGAGTAGAATTTAATCTTCATATAAACACTAGTACAAAAAGTTTTACAACATACACAATAATTTCTAAGATTTGAGTAAATAGAGTAATTGTGGAAAAAAATTATTTGAATATTTTCACCCATTAAAATAATAAGTTCAATTTTTTTTAACTCATCTTTATCAGAAAAATTACAAGTAAAAATGAGTAAATAAAAAATTATAATAATGACATTTTAAAAATAACACTTTTTTAACTCTAAAGCCATTAAAACAAAAGCCATTAATTTACCACAATGTACAAAAAAACATGAGAACATAATTAAAAATGGCTAAGAAAATTAAGAGACGCAATCATTGAAATACAATGTATTCATTTATTGTAAATTTGGGTGGACAGGTTGCAACATTATGATCTTTACACAAATGTAATTCCCCAGAAAAGTTCACATTCAAGCTGTAATTACATCTTCACCAAATCATCTCCCACCTAGTGCCCCTTCGCCTTCCCAATTTTCATCTTATATTTATTTCTCCTAAATCTAATTCACCTCCCAAAGATAGTGACTATAAAAACATCACCCATCCACCGCTCCACAATCTTTTTCCCAAAATACCCCAAAAAGCCATGCTAGACCCTCCCCTAATTCTTCTTCTAGGTTCTAACCCTGTATTAATAACTACCAGTACTATTTTCCTGAACATTATTCACCCTTTAATAGTGTTTTAAAAACCAAACTGAACAAATTCCGGTTCGGTTCAATTTTTAAAACATTGACCCCACACCTATCAATAAGTCCATTCTTGAGGTAGATGAATCTCACTGTTCACCTCTGTCTGCTTTTGCTGAAAAAAACCATCATCACTCCCATTCCTTGCAACGCCTAAAATATCACACACGTCAACATCGATTCACAAAACTTCTAAATCCAAATCAATAAAAATAAATAAAAAATAATAAAGAAAAACTTTACCAACCATTTTCATAATTTGAAGTTCCATGAATACGATTCTTCTGATGCATGTAACCTCTAATCACACCTTCATCAACCTTCCGATTCAATGCATGAACCACTCTTTCAGGAACAATCACATTTCTACTCCCTGAGTCCACAATAACAAAATCAAAAAAAAATCATAAATGCATTTATATTCAAATTAAAATTAACAAAACAAAAATAAATTATTAATTGATTTAAACCTGGTTTTTTTCTTGATGACTCGGTATCAACGAACCGAGGCAAAAAAACACCGGTTCCGTTTCTTTCCTTATTCAAATTAGGGTTTCCAGGAAAAGCGGCCTTGTTGTTATTTCCAATCGTTTGCACAGAAGGCCATGCAGATGGCGACAAACCAACTTTTCCCGGAAAAACCGTTTCGTTGTCCGTTCCTCTTCCAAGGACATTTTGGTAATTACAATTTTGCCTCTGCGAAAAAACGCCACAACCACGAGCGAGTTCCTCTCGTTGCTTCAGCCACTGTTTCTTCAACATCTCAATCTACGATAAAAATAAATAATAATAATAATAATAATAATAATAATAATAATAATAATAATAATAATAATAATAATAACAGTAAATAAAATTAGTATATAAATATCAATTCCTAAAATATAAGTTAATATAAAAAAATGATAAGGCGTTAAATATGTTATTTACTTGTGTTTTTTGAAGCTGCAACTGTAACTGTTTCTGAGAAATCGAGAGATGGTGATTCTGAGTGTGAAATACAGAGGGCTTTTTAGGGACAAAACCGTAAAAAGCATCTTCGTTGTTAACTCGATGAATCCTTTCGACTTTCCCTGCATCCGCATGCAGCAGATCATTCGTCGCTCTCCGTGAGTTCAAGTTCAAAACGGCGTCGTTTCGCCTTGTACCGTTCCCGAAACTTCCATTATCAAACGCGTTTAGTGTTGATTGTGGTGAAGAAACCTAAAAGAAAAAAATAAAAACGGATATAATTTTTTGAGTGGTGAAAAACTGAAAATAATGGTATACAACTTTTTGCATGTTTTCGTTACCTTGTTGTTGAGAGCGAGTTGGTGTTGAAGAGTTGAGTGAGCCATGCGCCGAGTTAACTCGTTGATGTAATCATTCTCGTCGCTTTTTGTTTCTGTTTCGTTGGGTGAAATGAAGTAAGGAAACAGAGTAGTTGAAAAGCTGTTGAAAACGTCGTCGTTTTTGGAGGTAGTGAAGAGGTGATTGACGAACCGTTTTTCGTCGTCGGTGAGAAACTGAGGCGGGAGGCAGAACTCGGAATTTTGAGCCATTTGAGTTTGGAAAGAGTGATTTGAATTTGAATTTGGATTTCGGGTTTATGAAGAGGTTTTGATACGGTTTATAATAGTGTAATAAAATGGGACCCAGATATATATATATATACTTATATTAAAAATATAAAAAAATAAAAAGATAAAAAAAAGCTAGAAAGGTAAAGTAGAATAGAATGGAATGAACATGAGTATTGAGTACGAGTATTCATTTTTCGTGTGAACTTTTTTTAATTTAGAAAATTTTAATTTAATTTTTTGAGGAAAAAGAGTGGGAAGAGATATTGAGAAGGTGGTACAAAGAACGATAAGAGGCGGTGCTACTTTTTATGTCACGCTCACGCGCGATGTTTTTGTACTGTTTACACGCGCCGATTATAAATAAAGGATAGTACATATTTTATTTAGTTTTTTTATATTGGAAAAAAATAATTGTGGATAATTTAATAATGGAGTAACTATAATAATTTTTGGATTTTTGAAAGATATGGAAGGTGTGATACACTTGATGGAAGGTGTGAAGGTGACAGCTATGGAATGTATTGAAAACGAGTGACCGGGTAGCACGACGTGACTGATGATGGAGTTGCATTGCACCCCTTCACCCATCCCTCGTTTGCTTGGCGGTTGAAGCATTGTTTGTTGCAAAATTAGGTCCCACAAAAAGTAATAAAAAGAAATTTTATTATTTTAAAATTTTGTTAATTTTTTCTAAATTGATCTAGAAGTAGTTTAAGACTTTTTTTTTAAGGCATTACCCTACTCTGAAATGATATATACTATAATATCTTAATTTAATTAGAATATCTCATTTTCATTACGTGTTTATTCATTCAAGTGGCGAACTAATGCTTGTTTATTTTTGATGTAGACGAGCACATGTTAGTTTTGTTTTTTTTCATAGTTATGTTCATATTAATCACTTATTTAATAATTTTAATATAAAAATTATATTATAAAATATATTATATTAATTTAATAATAAAATATTAATTAAAAATATATTATAATAATAAAATATTTTATTTTTATTAATTTAATAATTAAATACTAATTAAAAATATATAATAATAATAAATTATTTTATGTTGTATCAATATAAATAATTAAATACCAATTAAAAATATATCATAATAATAATATATTTTTGTTGTATTAATTAAATACAATAATAAAATATATTAAACAGAAATACATGTTACATATAAATTTTATCAAAAATGGTCCACAGTTCCACACCTAGTGGCCCTTTCTGTCGATATCTCATGTACACACGTTCATTTGCATTCGTTGTAGGTGATTGAGATGAGTCGTAAGACATATCTTAATTGTGATGTGTTGTAGGGGGTCCGTCTGCCTTGAAGGGGGTTCTGCTTGTGTCGAAGGTTGCTCAGCAAGAAGATCATCAATGTTAAAATATGGCATTTGCACCAGTTTATCCTCCGTTGGCAAAAAATGTTGGAATGAATGTGATGGTTGTGGTGGTTGGGGGTTGGGTTGGGTTTGTTGGAGGGTTGGGTAGTAGACATCATCAGGCGCGAAGGTGAAGGTGGGTTGAGACAATGAAGTGTTGAAGGTTTGATGTTGGAATTGAGTGTTTGGCTGATCAAAGTTTGGAGGTGGAACTGGAGTGAACTGTAAGGGTGGTCCAAGGTTGGATTGGGGTTGATATTGTTGGTTGTAGTTGTAGTTATAGTTTGTTGAGGGAGTGGATTGTAGGGAGTTTGGTGTCAGGATGAGGATGCATAATATATGTGTTGTTTGGTTGTCTGAGTGTGTTGGTATGTATGTTGAGCTGATGAATATGTGTGCCCCCTAAATTGAGATGTGCAGTTTGGTGGCACATCCTGATGCATCGATGCGGCAGTTGGTTATGTTGATGACGAACCTTGCATGCGCGGTGTAACACCCCCTTTCTATACCCCTCATTAATCAAATAAATCATTTAGGCACATATTAAAAATCCATTAGAGTATAACTAAAACACGGTATAAAAGAGGTGCGCCACATCATACGTGAATTTAAAACATACAACACCTGCTTAATAAAGATATGCAACAGTGGGGTAACTTTCAACAGAGGAACTTAGTCCTCATACCCACATCTCAATAAATAAAAGCGGAAACATCTAAATATCGATAATCATCAAACACATACATATATATATATATATATATATATATATATATATATATATATATATATATATATATATATATATATATATATATATATATATATATATATATATATATCATCTAGTTTAATTCACAACATAATTCATATTTTTATAAACATTCCACAACAAGATACATATACAACGTATCCCAAAAGAATCATATATCCTAGCTACCCGGTGCTACATATCAGAGCTGACCGACAAAAGAATGAAGACAAGCTTCACAAAAGACCTCTAGCATACCTAATCTGCAATGCCTCATAGAGCATCATAAAACAGCAGAAAGGTGGGAAATATCATCATAATAATCAATGCATATAATTATATATATCTACCACCTTAGAATACACATGATCAACATTCTCACCACAAGTCATCCATATACATCACAATGTATATACAAATATATGGATAATCACCAGGCACATTCATCATGCAGACATCCACAAGTCACTCATTTCACATAAACATTTACAATTATGTTTATTCATCAATTCACAACTCTCAGTTCAACAATTCATACATATATGCATACTTTCATACAACAATTATATCTATGTCATGTGAAACCTTCAGCCCTGTCGTCAAACCGGCCACTATTCGCATGGTACTGAAGGAAAATTGCGATCTAAACGCAGCGGAAAATAAAAATTTCCTTTAGTGATCCTTACGAATGAGCATGGTCAGTGATAGAATCGTTACCTCTTTGTGGCGATTCAGATCTTTGATGCAGCGATCACAAGCGTTGATGAAGTGCAACGCCTCTACTCAGTCCACACGAACAGCTTCCGGTCACAGTGCTAGCTGCTTACGAACAGAATTATTTGAGTGAGAAAAGAGAATCAAAAACGAAATTGCATCAAGTGAAAGCTTCATCACAAGGGTTCCTTTTATAGACTCTCTTGTGGGCTGCGGGCTAAAACCCAATTCACATGATCCATAATAATATTATATATTATTATAATAACTATTATTATAATAAATATATTTATTTTATTATTATTTTATAACCATTATAAAATAACAATAATTATTATTATATTATCCGAATTTCTATTTTTCACTTAAGTGCACCGTACCTTACGGTGTTCCTTTTTGATTTCTCTATCTCTCATCAAACTGTCCTTATGTGTGTGACCCTGTAGGATTTCGTAACGTTGGTAATTATATTAAATTATATATTTAACATAATAAACAGTAAGCGGTATCTAGCAACACATCACTGCTACCCAAGTCACGAAAATGTCATGTGATCTGACAAAACCTTTTTCGTGATAATATATGTTTGTACAATTACCCTTTTTGCCCCTATGTCTATATTGAACACAAGGCATACACTGTGTCATCCTTGTCCAGTTCAATATTGGGCCCTTAGACATTTCTCCTGTTATGCAGGATTGGCAAATTCCATCTAGGACACTCATGTCCCTCAGCATGCTTCGTGGAGTGCCCATCAACTGTCTTTATGATCATCCAGTTACGGATAATGTTTGATCAGCAATAAAGCACCCGACTCTATATCTAGGGTCCATAGTGGTTTCAGGTCGAAGGGTGGTAATACACCATTATCACCATGAGAATAACTTATGACACTTTGCATAACATACTATGTAGTATTCTCATAGCGGGTCAATCCGGTATAAATATTACTCCTAATATTTATACCTATGTCAAGACTTGATAACTCTTTATCCATGATCCATGAGATGTGATCATCAGTCTATCTTCATAATAGTCTCAATGCTTTTAATGTTATCCCACTTTGCAATAAAGCTTGACTACGGATATTTTAAGAATAATGTCTTTATGTTTAATGGGATCTCATGATTAAGTCACACTTAACATTTCATTAAACAGACTAACTATTCTAGGGACTTTATTATTCTGAAAGACAAACATAATAAAGAAATGCCTTTTATTATTAAACGAATAATCCGATACAAGTACCAAAAAGTATTGGCCTCTAGGGCTTACACCAACAGGTACTTAGCATTGCAATATCCAAATCATGGTGTCTCCACCAACTAGATGTCAAAAATGTCTTTTTGCATGGAAATCTGGATGAAACAGTGTATATGCACCAGCCTCCTGGATTCCGCGATCCACAATATCCTGAACATGTTTGTCTACTCAAAAAGTCTCTCTATGGTCTAAAACAAGCACCTCGTGCCTGGTACCAAAGATTCACTGATTATGTTGCCACATTGGGTTTCTCTCACAGCATCTCTGATCATTCCTTATTCGTTTTTCATCGCGGTATTGATACTGCTTATATCCTTCTATATGTGGATGACATAATTCTCACTGCTTCGTCTGTTGCTCTTCGTGACTCTATTATGTCTAAACTTAGTTCTGAATTCGCCATGAAAGATTTGGGTCCTCTAAGTTATTTTCTGGGAATATCTGTCACCAATCATACAGGTGGTCTTTTCTTGTCTCAAAGAAAATATGCAGAGGAAATTATAGAACGAGCAGGCATGTCCTCTTGCAAACCATCATCCACTCCAGTCGACACCAAGGCAAAACTTAGTGGCTCTTCCGGGAATCCATATCATGACCCAACTGAATATCGGAGTCTTGCAGGAGCATTGCAGTATTTAACCTTCACAAGACCCGATATCTCTTATGCAGTACAACAGGTATGCCTATTCATGCATGACCCAAAAACACAACATATGTCAGCACTGAAGCGTATAATTCGGTATATTCACGGCACTATTGATTTCGGCCTTCACTTGCATCCTTCCTCTGTCAGCAAATTGGTTTCTTACACTGATGCAGATTGGGTTGGCTGCCCAAACACCAGGCGATCCACCTCTGG